ATGGCAAATATACCTGACGGCAAAGACAGCGCCATGTTTGGTGTAAAACCCTTTTGTTAGACAGCCATACTCTTACCCCAAATGGGGCACCAACCGAGACACGAACTCGCAACTTTTTATATTACAGTCAAACACTCTAAAGAGTGCGCTAAATCCTCGATGACCGGCCTTTTAAGTTAGGGAGATATTGAGAGCCGTCGACATACATTATTGCGAGTCCTGCAAGCAACTTGCCTAAGTTTGCAAATGTTTGATTATTTCTCCCATACCAGTTTTCCAAACTAAAGCATTTCTAATTATCAAATCCACTTATTTGCTCAAACTAACCTGTCAAAATATGTGCCAAAATACCAACTTAAATTTCGTCATGAAAATTTTTTGCAGGACATGCAGGACTGTATATTAACCGACCGCTAGTGTCTGCCTAGAATACTTGCCGCTACGGCTGCTTGCGGTGACCGCGAAAGGAGCAAAAAATGTGGGACAAGGAGCGGTTTTTTGATTTTTCGGCGGCTTTATTTGTTTCTTCGTATTCAGTAGCATAGTCGGTGCGTTCTATAAATAGTGCAGCTCCCTGTGTATTAAGTCACCGTATCTGACTTTGATCGAGTTGCTCAGTACGAATGTGTATTGCGCAAAGCAGACGAATATAATATATAATATATTATAGTATAATGTAATTATAATATTATAATTTAATATAAAATATATTGTATAATTACTCTGTGAACTTATCACGTGCTGCAACACGCATCCTTGCTTATATCAGGAGAGGTTTCTCGTTATAAATAGGACGCTTAATAACCTTGTCAATTAAAAATATTCCAATTTAGTTTGCGAACTTACATACGAGTGAATTTCAAAACGCAAAGGACGGCCGTAGCAATCAACAGGACACCCGCGACAGCTCCCACAACAATGCCCGCAATTGCACCTCCGCTGAGTTTGTGAGTATCTAAAAGACATATAAAACGTGACATTTAAAAACGTGTTTCAATCTGCAGTTCTTGACGAGGAATAACTTAACAATTGTCCTCGAACATTTTTTGACGAAACTAGTGCCAATTCCCCAGCACGAACCTATTCTCATTACGTGAAACCCTAAATTGAGATTAAAAATAATCGCAGAGTTACCGACGGA